GGGGGGGGGGGGGGGGGGGGGGGGGGTCCTAAAACCGCAAAACCGCACAGAAATACGCCAAAAAACCGCAAACCGTATCGGATTTTTTCCCAAATACCGAAACCGCGCGTACATGTAGGCTACAATATGAAAGCTGACGTCAGCAAGACTTGTGATATATTCTGATAACATTGTGCGTTAGTATTCAACATACCATTATAGCGCTAACGATATAGTGTACTACACTATTATACTCTATTTACTACTAACCAAATGCCAAGTATGCTGGTCATGTACTTGAACGAGTATTGATATCTCCCTTGACTTTGAAAAACTCTGTCACTGATCCTGTACGTCTTACATTGGGTGACTGATTACTTTGGACGACCCTGCGCTAGTTGCGGAACGCGGAATAAATGTTTCTTCTGGAATTGTGACCTTCTTGTCTCGTAAAGAGTTCACGTTCAGTGGAGAAGACGATTGTTAAAACGTACAGCTCTTCTGAAATTCTCCCCTTCCTTTCCTTCTTCATAGAAGATTGCCACGCAATTAATTATTACGTCCTCCTCGCTTTCAGTTGCGACCTCGACGACCTCAGTTGCCATTGTTGCGCATTGAATCAAAGCAACGAGAACACGAGGCTGTACGGCTGTACGAGCTAACATCCGGCATGGAATTTCACGAAGTCGACGCATCATTGGCCAAAAACGGTTAATCATATTAAGTATTAACTGGAAAAGGCCGTAATTGCAAATTGGGAGCTGATATAATGAACCCTGATGCGTTGTAAAACAAAACACTTGGCTCGCGCTTGCAAAACAACCGGATGCTGACCGTTCTAAAGAGTGTTATCACCGCAGACACTTTTTTTTTCACCGAAAACCGCGACTTGAAGGTTGTAATAACCGCAAACCTCTTAGTGTTTTGAAACCGCAATACCGCGAGTTAAAATAAAAATTACCGCAAAACTGCATCACCGCAAACCCTTACGGCCCCCTTCTGTCAACTATTACTAGTTGTTAAACTGATATCACTGACTGAACATGAACAACAGTTCGTTGCGGCACACTTAAATCTTGGTTAATTTTTGTGGTGGGTTGTTGGAATGTAACCTCAAACGAAACGAACACCAGAAAAAAATCGTTTGCAAACGTGTTTTTTTCTGGTGTTCGTTTCGTTTGAGGTTACATTCCAACAAACCGACACAAAAATTAACCAAGATTAAAGTGTGATTGAAAAAACATCATCAAGATACTGATTGAGATGCAAAAACTTTTTTGTTAGTGAGTAATCAAATAAATATTAAATTCAATTGGTTGTTTTCTATCCAAATGTCCCGGAGTAGTCAATCGATGAAGATCGATAGCAATCAGGCGGTGTGCGCACTACGATCGCTAAGCATCATGGGCGGCATTCAAAATTTGATCATTTGTGTCAAGATGGCGTGCAGTGAACATCTCGACTGCGGAGTGAATATTCGTTAATTACGATGTAGATATATACGATTTTGCTTTGAATCTCTTCTGATAGCTCTTGAAAAAGAAAGTCTGTCCAATTCTCAGGGAAAAAACATTCTCATTCCGTTGATAAGTGTATTCTGGTGTATTTTGTTCGTGATCTCTCGCATCCTGTTTGCAACTGACCGAGAAAAGTCTGCACAGAAACGCTTTGTTCAATGCTTCAATCATGAAAAGCACTGGAGGTAAGACCCGCGGTTCGCCGAAACTTTTGAATTCACCGTGAAATCAGTGCAACTAGTGCTAAGAGGTACTGATATGCATAGCTGTGATATAGTCATAAAATACCCTACTACTAGGAGCTTCTTCAGAATACCCGGTCACGGTATTTAAACACAGTGAGCTTATTTTGTTTTGTCAATTAGCATTGCAAGATGTTCACTTGCTAGCTGTAATAAGAGAATCGAAGTTGAGGGGGTCAGCTTTTCAAGGACTTGTTTCTCTGTTGGCACCAAGTCTGCAATTTGTTTTGCTTAACATCTGTATTTATCATCACATGAAGACAAGTAAATAAAGTAGAGAGTATTTGTGTACAGTGAGCTTGTGTCCTCTTTGTAGATAATATTAATATTGAGCATCTTTTGTTTTTCCCATATATTTTCTATTGGTATGAGTCATAGAATGTCTTATAACTGGCATTGAAACTGAAAATGGCATATTTGTGATTACAAAGCCTGGTGCAGTCAATAGATTTTAAAAGCTTCAGCCACTATTTGTTTAATGATTGTGTGAGTACGTACAAACACATGTTATCACATATTTTTTTTGGATCATAAAAACTCTTCAAAATGTGAAATTCATACATGTTTACAAATCTCCTGTAATCAGGGCTGGGGCAACATAGCTTGAGACCCCTTTCCTTTCTCCTCACCCCAATTTTATAATTGAAATATGGTGTCATAGGTGTCATCATACTGACACAGTCAACTCTGTATACAGACACTGAGGGGACATAAGGTGGGGACATCTGAGGAGAAAAACGATCTAAGGAAAGAACTGTATCTATTGAAAAATAAAGCATATAACCTGCGCAATTTCTCGACCTTCGCCGCCATCTTGAAAATTTTGAATCCACAATGCATCGCAATCGTAGTGCGCACACCNGAGGGGACATAAGGTGGGGACATCTGAGGAGAAAAACGATCTAAGGAAAGAACTGTATCTATTGAAAAATAAAGCATATAACCTGCGCAATTTCTCGACCTTCGCCGCCATCTTGAAAATTTTGAATCCACAATGCATCGCAATCGTAGTGCGCACACCACCTGGATAGCAATCAAGTGATTTTTATCGCTTGATAATGGAAATTGGTGAAAATCGATAGATTAAATTGCTGTGTCAAATTGATATCATCGATTTTTCAGCATTTTAACGATTTATAACGGTTAGCCGACATTGTTGTGTTTTGACATAAGTTAAATATTACAGCTGAGAAAACACATCCACGAGTAACAACTGATCAACAAACATGGAAATAAGAAATGTGGAAACTCTTACAGTCACAAGATTCTCTCTAAAACCGTGACCCTTTTGTACATAATAACAAAAACGTTTCGGTTAAATTACTTCATTCGCAGTTATCGCAGGCAAGTAAGTACCACGAGAAATACAACCTTACATAAAAGATTTTCCAGCCTGAATTTCAGATATCCTCTAGAGTAGAAGGGATGCCTGAAGTTCAGGCTAAAAGATTTCCCTAGATTTTTTTTTTTTTTTTTCACCGTTTTCCGTCATCAATCGATAAAATCACTTGATCGCGAACGATTTTTATCGATTTCGATTTTTATGTATTTTTATGTTTTTACTTCGGGAAGTAACTACACGCGGAACTGATGTTATTTTGAAAGGGTGGCAGATCTAAATCGAGAAAAAACTGGGCGCCTACAAACCTGGCCAATATCGGCCATCAGAAGAAGACTTTAAGGTGGCCCGAACCTATTTATATGCGTGCTGGTTATGTTTTTGATTTGCGTTTTTTAGAATGAAAGATTCAACCTATTTCTATGATTTTTGGCATACCAAATAATTAATGATGGAACTTTAAAAAATGTTAATATTTGTTTTCTTGTAGATATTAAATCCTTTGAGATTTCGGCATATATTTAAAACCGCATTTTTACGAAAAATGTAAATAACTTCGACATCCCAAGACAGATTTTTCCCTAACTTCAGCAAATAAGCCTCAGAGCTCTCTAGTTTTACATCTGCAAGTTTGAAAGCAATCGTGACCGTAGAACTCGCTGCACAAAATGCTGGTCAAATTTAACCTCAAAATGCTACGCTAACACATTTGTGAAAGTTGTCGCACGAATAGAGGTAGAGTGCCAACAGACTATCTCTTATCTGTAAGGATATTCCTACCTATAGCTTTATTGCAAGAAACAGGGTAATCAGAAACCTACGGCGAACATATATAGTTAGCACTACAAGAAGAACAACTTATTGATGAGTGCGCGGTAATATTAAAGAACTTCTATTCATCAAACTTAGGTTGTATTTGTCCCTCTCTTTTGGAAACAAATCTTAACAAAGCAAAATATAGCGTCTACGAAAAACTGTCAAGAGTTTTTAGCGTCGCAGGTTCCCGTTTTGAAGGGAAATAAGGCCCCCAACTCCAGTACTTCTAGCCACCCATTTTTCAGCTGCAATGAAAACCCTTGTATTTGGTAATTTATTCAAGCTTTTTAAACTTGCCATCACATTCGCACGGGAAGTTTACCACTTGGGAATAAATAAAGATGAAGACAAATATGACAATCGTCTTATTCTTCTCATTATCCCCAACAGCAAACTGCCCGTGCGAATGTGATGGTAAGTCTTAAACAAAACGAGTGTGTCTTCGATTTCTACCAAGTGATCGATACAATCAATATCAATCAAATCAGCTTTACCGATTTTTATCGATTTATAAATCAATACCGATTTTTATCGATCAACTACTCCGGGAAATGTTCTTTCTTACTGAACTGTCTTCAGGTACGACTGTTCCAAAGACAATAAGCCCCCCAAGTGGCACCGCTCCTTATGAGACGCAGAAAGCCCCGACGAAGCCGAGGCCATGGTTTTGGGCAGTTGTGGCCGGTGTAACGGTGGTGTTAGTAACAACTGCTGTTGCTGTGAAGTGGAGAAAAAGAAGGCTAAACCAGAACAAAGGCAGACAACAGAGCATTCCACCAGTGCAGCGTAAGAAAATTTTTAAATAATTAATATTCAAACATACTGCAGAAAGTCTGGAAACTGCAAAAGTATACTTACTGCAGTGTAAAATGCGGAGGAATACTGCATTCTTCTTTGTTAAAGAATGTCTGTTTGCTCAGCGCTAACTCAAGACGGTTTTGTGCATGAACGAATCCAAGTTTTATTTTTTATTTTTCCCCAGGTGGTCTAGATACTCATATCAGAGACCTGACCGTTGAAGACAGGGAGTTTATTTCGGAATGGCTCAACGACCAAGACTCCAATGGTAGACTATACTCAGGGGCACCCAACGAGAATATAGTTCGAAACCACTTAAACATAACATTGTTGAACGTATTTTAGTATTTAAACGGTGGATAAAGGCATATTTTTATCCCCTAAAAATTTTTTATCTGTTCGGATTTCCTAGCTGAAATGCTAGTGATCCGAAAATTATAGGTATCAAAACTTACCTTTTCGAAAATTTCAGCCAGAAAAAAGGCGTCCGAAAATTTTAGGTGACCTTCTTACGGTAAAAATCCGTTAAAAATGGGCAATTATACCGTTTTTTATATGTTCGAAATCTTAGGAGAGGCAGGCAAGCAAGAAATTTTAGAAAAATGATCCGAAAATTCTAGATCTCAAGTCATCCTCAGAACAGATAATTTTCCGAAAATTATCGTTGGGTGCCCCTGTATACTAGTTTTAACTTCTTTTTTCACCTTTAGTACGCTTTAATTGAAAATTAAACGAAACTTACCTGTAAGTTGATGGTAATTCGGTTGAGTCATCAGGAAGTGTAAGAGATCAAATGAGATTGCACAATCCTATCCCAGAAATCAACTTTTAAAGACGAACAAATACTCAAGTGTACATGTAAAATCGGGTTGGTTGTAGTATAAGGGTGGGCTTGTGATCCCTTCCACTTCCTGATGACTCAATAGAATTACCATCAAACTTCAACTTACAGGTAAGTTTCGTTTAATTTTCAATTATATTTCGTCATCATTTAAATGTAGTGTAGGGATCCCATGAGAAGTTTACAGCCAGTATTTGTGAGCGCAAAGATAACAAATATCCAATATGTCAAGTAACACAACATTTATATTCTTCTGGCTCAAATCTCACTGAGTGACAATTAATATATTACACTTGCTGTGCACTGTCCAACAGAACCTTTGCCAATTCTCCGTGTTGTTGAATTGGTTACTTGTAATACTTCGCAAAAGTGCAATGTCCTGACCAACCTGCAGTTCGAAGAATAGTGTCAACAGGAACCTTAGCTACTGCAGCTGCACTGGCTGACGCAGACCTGATACTATATGAGTTGACTGTTCCTTATAATAGAAGGGACAGACAACGGCGAACTCAAACTCCTTCAAAATCGCTCAAAAAAACCGCTTTTGAGGCAAAAGGACGATTATATACCACAGGCAAGGTAATTCAACGTTTGTTTATCATCGATTTATTGCCCCCGCAGGGATTTCGCCCAGAGGGCGAAATCCTGAGGAGGCACTCTAGTAACTCGCGCGTATATTAAGGAAAGTACTTACAGTTGAAATATACAGTTATACAGTCAATATAGAAAAAATCTCGATTTGCTAGCCTGCGTGGCAGGCGCAAAAAAGGGAGGGAGAGGGGGAGGAAGAAAAGCCCCTACTCCCTATCCCCTACCCATTTCGACGCCTTCTACGCAGGCTACGATTTGCTTGAACAGGGACCGCGAGGAATCGGTAGGTAGTGATGACGTTTCTATTGTTTGCGCCCGCAAGTACGAAATGGTTAGGATGACGTAAGGACAGAACATCCCCAAGGGACCGTTTAGGTAGATTTTGTGACGTTTATTGTGCAGTCATACTTCCACACTCTTTTGCGTTACGTGTTATCAGTCGTTATCAGTGACATTCTGTGGAGCAGTTGTTTTGAAAGTTATGGACCAAACGACACTCGTTAAGCGCAGATGAAGTTATAAGGTGCGTACAACTGTGTATATATAAACACTTGGAGAGTTTGCCAGACACGAGTTCACAAACCTTTCATTGGAAACCTTGCCAGACACTCTTTCTCTCTCTTTGACCGGAATAAGACTCAGCCCCAAACAAGCAAGACGAGTGAACAACGGCTAGCTTCTCACTTGCAGAACGATGGACGATTACAGAAATTCGCCGACAATCAAATTCTTTGCTGACTTATTGCCTGCTCACAGATGTCCTTCAGCTATAAAGTTTAAAATAAGACTAGAATGCGCGAGTGTGAATTGATCAGAGCCACTACATATGAAACGTTTAAGAGGTTAGATGTAACAGATCTAGGAAAAAACATTCCAAGACAGGAAAGTTTTGATCACTGATATTTGTTTCTGAATACTTGTTTCTGATATTTGATCACTGATATTTGTTTCTGAAACAAACGTTCATTTCTTGACCCAAAACACGAGTCGACTGATCAGTGGACCTCGCGGTTGATGTGTGACGAGGATTTAGCGGTACTCTTGTTCGCTGATGAAGTTTGAGAAGCGGAATTTCCGCAAGGGACTGATTTCTTTGTTGGTTTTGTGGTTTTCTCTTTGTCCTGATTCTAACTCTGTGAGTCCCGCACAGAATCGATATCTCTAGTGGAGATGTTCAAGTGATCGTCCCCGCCATGTTTTGAGGTCTCGGTTAAGGCCACGGCTGATTGCAGCATATTGTGACCACAAAGTGAGCAACTGTTTACTCTTCGAGTCGAAGAGACAAAAGAAATATACAAGTCGAGTCCGTCGGACAATAATTGTCGAAGAAATTCCGCGAAATTTCACAGAGCTATTGTTAACATGTCCGTCAACGAGCAGGAAAGGATTCGCATTGGTTTCTGGGATAGGATTGTGCAATCTCATGGGATCCCCACACTGAATGATGACGAATAACCGGCGAATTTATACCACTCACCAGAGGAGGTATTTTTCATAGATTAGACTATTTTATAGGGTACGTAAGGATTTGACACCATTTTTGGCAACCTTACTACGTCGTCCTAGTGTCCACGCTTACAGTTTAAATTGTCTCTGTCAGTTGTTATTTTATCAAACCTGTTTTTAATTCCGTGAAGATTATTCGCACATTTGGTTTAGAACGGGAGGGTAACCCTGGTGCTAGTGCACCCCAGCAAGAGGGTTACCCTAGCACTCACACATTTCCTCTTTTTTTTAACCCTACCACCTGACTGCTAACCCTACTAACTTACTGCTAGCCTTACCTTGCCTTGTAAACGTTCTGCTAGGGATAGCTTGCCCACCCGGGATAACTTTGCTTCGTCGCGCGTGATCAGTAGTCTTGACAATTTGAAAGGAGGTATCCAATTTCTGAGCTAAATTATAGACAGCTTCCCAAGTTGTTCAAAAGCTAGATAGTGCTATCCACCGGGTAAATCAATATCTAGTGGATAAATTTTAGGCGAGCCAATTGCGCTATACAGTGGACAGAGATTTATCCGGTAAAATGCGGTATCCACCTTTTGAACAGCTGGAGCCTAAACAATATAAGATATTTTCTGTATACGATCATAATATTTTTCCGTTTTTTCCTGAATTTAACGTGTTTCCGTAGAGAACTTCAAGTTTTCTTTTAAATATTGGACGTTCCAAAAAATGTAAATTTGCCGTTAAATGGTAACATGCCGTCACAGTTAATAACAGAGTGTTTTCACTGTCACGCAACGAAAAAATAACTTTGAAACTGTGGAACGAAAGAAGCCAAAATGAAAAGAAGACTCATACAAATACACAACATATCCAAGTCTCAGGTCTGTGCGGCGCACCGTTTTCTAGTAGTTTACCGAAAAGTTTCACGTAATTTAAAAGAGCTTTGTATGGGGACGCCTGCTGGTGTACCAACATGGGACACCAATATGGCGGCCAGAAATCAACAAAGACATCAGGCTTTCACTTTTGTGATAAAAATTCTTTTTTTGCTTGTAAGCAAATTAGCATTCGCATAAACACGTTTTGTACTGCTTAAAATGTATCAAAAGAAAGCTGAAAATCATAAACAGATAGCTTGCCTGGCTTTTCTTTAGCCTTCGTCTGCTGTTCGCAGGCTAGCTTTTCTTTAACCAGACATTCTTGACGAGGCTACTGACTGTGGTACTGTCACACACTGTGAAAATTTCTAAATTCAAAATGCTGTATTTCAAAATGAAATACTCTACGGGGCTGAAAACCTCTACATAGGTTTATTTTTCGAGCCCCTTCAACCTGGTATGCATAAGAATTCAGAGAATTCAGATTTTAGAATTTAATAACGTCATGGTGAATGCTCTGTATCAGTTACCGTGCCATTCGGATCAAAGCACTTCTCTCCCTATGCAATGTGCATGTTCTTCCTATTATGCAATTAAATAGAAAGCAAATACAAGCTTGCGCCCCTTCGAGTGCCAAAAAGTGATAGGCAAAAGAATCTGCAGTATTTCTGATCAGGAATTACCTGAATGGTCACTCCAAAATGTCTCGGCCATCGATTAAAAACTTCCAACGATATGTTATACTCATGCTCTTAAAGTAAATCGTCAAACAGTTCAAATGATTTAAAACTTCTGAATCATTATTTGACTAATTTAAGAACTAAGATTCTTCAGTTAAGACTCTTTGTTTAGCTGAATCTTTAAAACTTTTGGCTCACGTGTTTCAATTTAGGATTTTGCTACTGGGAGAAGGTTGCCGAGAAACTTGGTCTCCAAATTCATCGGTATAGACAGTGGAGACGAGCAGACAATCCAACTGTCAAACTACTAACAGCATTAGCTGAAGATGAAGAGAGCACTATCAGAAAGCTAATCAAGGCTTCCCAGGAGGCAGGGCTGACCCTCTTCGCCAAAGAATTGGGGAAGAGGTTTTCCGGGCCAACAAATATTCAAAATGGAAGCAACGAAAATGTATAGGTGATGGAACGTCTGCATGGTTGACACATGTCGCTTGTAAAATACTGAGGAAAGGTTTGTAGGTGACATGGGAGCTTTTGTATGGGGCGGCTTTCAATTAGGTGTCCCTCTCTCTGCAGGCTGTCAGAAAAACCTGAGAAAAACGAACAACAATCAAATCTGGAGGCAAATAAATTGCTCGCACCAACCTTGGGGAAAATGCCTGTCGATTAAGTAACCACTGATTGAGGTTACCCTCTGATGCCACAATCATATTTTTTTGGGACACTCAACTGAAAATCGTTTTCATCCTTAAAAGTCATCGAACAGTGAGCTTGTTACATTCCTTAGATAAAAAATTTACTTCCACTCGGCTGTCTCTCTGCCAGAATAACTAGTGACGAGTTAGCTAGAAGTGTTTTCAAAAAATCAAAGTTTTGGAGGCAAGAAAATATGACGGAACAGAAAATAGTCTTCTAGAAACAATTAAGTTCCCGATTGCTTTACAGCTGACTGGCGAAGTCCACGAATTCTGTTAATCTTTCAGGCCCATTGCTTGAAGTATATATTATTGTTAACTAACCGCAATACTTAACATATTACCTTAGTTCATTAGAAAAAGAAAGCTCTTCCCATGTTTTCATGGATCAGATTTTGTGAAGTGAGTTGCCAACTTAGTGTGGAAACGTAAAGCAAAGAATCTTTCCAATATTTTAAGCTCTCCAAGCAAGCATTCGACTTATTGAAAGCTTTGAAAGAATTCCTTTTATTCCTTCCGTATCGTTAAATGTTTGTATTATGAGTTGTGATTATTGTTTTTTAGCCGACCAGAGCGCGATAATGAGAGACGGAGTGCAGTTTTATAGAGGAAATTGTGAAATAATGATGAAAGAAGAGAAAACAGTAGCTTAGCCCATCCTAAAAACCAGATCGGCAGAAACAGTGGGGAAGTGTCACTGACATGAAGACGGAATTCATCAGAAAATTGAGTATTTTCAATTTTCATTGGAAAAAAATCTTGTACCACAATAATTTAAACAACATTGCTTCCTTTCTTTTATATTTTTCAAGGGCTTTAGATATAATTGGTTATCTGTAATAACACGAAAGACTATTTCCCATGGAAGCCTGAGAAAATAAATGTCAAATTTCACAAGAAGTTTGAAAACACAGGTAAAATTCTTAAAACAGTTTCATGTGAAAGATGTCTTTTTTGTGAAATTTGACATTTATTTTCTCGGGCTCTCATAAGAAATTTTCTCTGGCGTTATTACAGGTAACTAATCACATCTATAAACTTGAAAAATTAAAAAAGAATGCGATATTGTTTAAATTATTTTGGTACAAGGTTTTTGTCCACTGAAAATTAAAATTACACAATATCCTGATGGAATCCGTCCTAAATTAAAATTTTAGCAGTGTTGCAACCCTTGTCACATCCTTCTCCCAGCTGTGCGCGTGCGCTCAGGTGGGCTAAACTGAGGTAGAGAGATGGCTGGGAAGAAACCTAGGGCAAGTTTCAGTAGGGGGTGTGTCGCCCATCACGTTTCCTATTGTAGGTACGTATGGCAAAGATTTTGTCTGCCTATTTATGACATGGTTCTGGGGTAACAATGACATCTTGAGTCAAAAGCCGATTACCAAGGGCTCCTGCCTGTCGTGATTGAGACAAATTTCTCCCGGTCTGGCTATTTATGACTTGAACATCCGGAGCTAACTTGTTCTTAGTTGTCTCGGGCTTCTCTTGTGTAAATATGAATTATAAAATTAAGACAAATGAGGTACAACAGACTAGGACGAGTCAAATCCTTTAGCACGATTTATATGGTCAATTGCATTGTGTTTTTCGGTTGGAAGAGAATGTAAAAAATATATATACATATTTAATATATATACCCAGTCATCAACGCGGGATATCTATAACCATTCATCTGCCAGCGACTAGTCGAAAGGTATTTCATTTTAATTATTTACGGATTGGAATTTAAGGTGAGTAACCTAACCTTCATCTCGTCCAAAGGGCTTTTTCATTTTTAGAAAACAGGAGAGGCGAGAAAACCTAATAATAATAATAATAATAATAATAATAATAATAATAATACTAATACTAATACTTATACTAATACTAATACTAATACTAATACTAATACTAATACTAATACTACTAATAATAATAACAATGATAATAATAATAATAGTAATAGTAATAAAATGTTAACAATGAATAAAAATTTTTAAATCAGAAATGTCGAGAAGCAGAATTTTCCAAAATATCTAGACTGTTGATATCAATGTTTGGATACTATTGACGTTTAAAGTAGCTTTCTTGGAGGTTTCGCAAATGTTCTTTTTTAAGAAATCGTTGTCTGCTACAAAGAAATAAGAAACGAAAATCACCAGAGAAATCGTTGTCTTCTACAAAGAAATAAGAAACGAAAATCACCAGAGCCGCATGTCTTTTACACAAAAAATTCAGCAAAACTACTCGACATTCGTCAAAGATATAAAAAGCCGCTCAGGGGCTGTACACAACTGGTGCCCGAGAACTGCTAGTGCCTAGGTTCCCACACAACATGATGTCGAGTTCACACTTTGAGTACCCGATTTGTAACTATGTACATGGCTGCGTTTCGCCCTTGAGCTTAGCAGCGAGTACAAAGCAGTAGATTGCCCTGGAACTTACAAGAAACTGTGCAAACAGGGACCCAGTGCCCCCTTATGAATTAGAATTCGGGCCTGTGTATTTGAAAAAATGCTGTATTCACGTTAGAGCCCAGCGAGTAGGGCACCGTTCCCGGGCAACAAGAGTAAACGCGGCTAAAAAAATCTCGCTGTGAGGCTTTACACAAAAGATTTAAAGAGGTCAGGGTGTATGAGGGGATACGTGACTAGCCTATACTAGGGCTTTTTTCGCTCCTCCCATTTTCTGACGGAAAAGCCTTGGTGACAACGCAGTTGATCTAACCTGATAGGCGGCACATCCCGGCATCTGGAATATTTAGTAATGTTTATGTGAAAATATCAAACTAAAAAAGTAGATATCAAGCAAACGACATATTGTTTGAGTTTATAAAGTAACATGTTTTTTAAGGCTTGAGCTTCGATCATCAGAACTTCCCATGATGACGGATACTGGAATGTTCACTTAACTCAAACGCTATGTTGTTATTTTTACCTAATTTAGATATATTTTTCTGTGCAAGAATTGATGCCAGAAGCACGGAATAGGGGCTGGTAATATTACAGAAGAATATTTTTGTGTACCAATATAAGAAGAAACAATTGAATGTGATGACAAAATTAAACGGTTCAGAAATAAATTTTCTAGTTGTCTTGTATTCTTTTTAGGTTAAATCTTAATTGACTTTTGACAAGAGATCATAATAGGACAGTGTCCTATTATGGCTCTTGCTTTTGATTAATGTAATGCATTTTCACGTTTTGTGCGCGGCTATTATGCCAAAAGCTTTTTGTAGATGCCCCTCAAATATTCATAGAGTCCTCACGAAGATTTATTTCCCAGGAATATGACGCCATAAACTTTGATCGATAAGGAATCGTTTTTCTTCCTTATGTACTGTATCAAAGACACGCAACACTCGGACTCGAATGACTAGTCTGTTCTATTTCTTAACTCCATTCAAAGAATAATTAAAATTATATGAACAAATGCTCCTTTGTGGTCATAGGTGTGACCATTCAAACCAGTGAAAGCTTACTTAACTGAGAAATATTTTCCTGTGGTTCTGTTTCTGATTACAAAGGAGGTTCTAACTTTTAATAGCGATGTTAATGAAATCTTATGGTTAAACGGGTGTAATGAGTTCAAAAAGCTTTTGAGCAGTGACTTTCAATCATGGTAATATTTCGCAATTTGAAAACAAAATTTATCAGTTTTGTTGCGGGCAGGCTACTCCTGAGATCAAAAGAAAAAATGGTACAATTGAAATCATGTATCTCACTTCGATTCTTTAATTACAATGGCATTGCTTTAACAAATGCCTTGGCCTTCGAGCAATCCTTTTTCAAAGTAGACAAACTGCTCCCCCTTCCAGTCTGATCCCCCATGGACACAGCGTGGGAATATTTCACACCGAGCTGACCGTACACCCAGTCAACACTTCCTCCACCTGCTGGACCTGAAAGGTATAAAAAAATTTTATGCATGTCGATAGTCGAGGTACAAGTGCATGGTAATCTCGTGGAACTTCGAAAGTTCTTGAATTTTCCGTAACGGTTCGGTTCGGCGTTAAATCATCGAATCACTTCACAGGCCGCCCAAACTCACGTCTCTTACATTTTCAACGGTCGCCTGTAACGCGACACCGGCGCGTCACCTATGTTATGTAAATTACATTACAACCTTTTCTCGCAACGTGAGTTTGAGCCGCCTGTGGTCACTTTCAACACCTTAAGTCTTCAGGCATATTCGGCCGGGGGAAGTCATCGACAGTTTTCCAAAACTTTTGAATCTTGGCCAAGATATTATAGATGCCATAATGTACTATGTTAAAAAGATCGCATATATATAGGCTGACCAAATAGAAACGAGTTTTTTACCAGTTAAGCGTACCACAAAGCTAAAAAATAGTAAAAAAGCGTAGAGGGAACTTCTTTCGGCAGATTTTAGTGAACGACCAAAATTAAAAAAATGCCAAAAGTATGAAACTCTGTCAGATTAAAACCAACCCTAAGACTAACACTTTTGGATATGGAGCCAGCCCGAATTCTCCTCTCGACACGAGTAGTGCGCAGACCATAAAATGGCCTACATGAAAACGAGGCTGTCATTAGAAATCCCTCTAAATTAGCTCGTTTCAAGTGTTTTTGTAAATTAAATGCATAGGTATTGTCGAAAAAGACATTTGCTTTGCTTTCATGCTATATTTGTTGTCAGGTATAACGGTGCCGTTGATGGGTGTACTGTGCGTAGGTGTCTTCCGTGCATTTTTGCGTTTTAATGGGTGAAAGTGGGCAATTTTTCACACGAGTTTTTATAGTACACACTCTTCAGCTATGTATATTCAAATTATCAAGGACTAGTTTTTTTACCATGCAAAAGTAAATCACTACGCTGCCAGTTTTTCTATCTTTTTTGGTTTCGTTTTGTTTTTGTTTGTTTGTTTTTGTTTTTGCGGTAATTGACTGTCATGACCGACCCCTAGTCAAAATTTGCCAATGACGGTTAACGAAATAAATAGGATGGCTGTATTGAAGCCTTTAAACCCTCGGCTTTAATTGTTAAAGTATATATTTAACTGAAGTAGCTTATGATGTAAAGGAGTACACTGTACCTCCATCGCGGTAACTTGCTTGACAACAACTCTGATATGCATGACGGTAACCCACTTTATAAATAGCTTTGGCAGCCTCTAAACCAGCTTTCTTCTGTGAATAGAATATATGAAAAGGCCCGAGGGAATTTCGCGGAGTTATTATTAATGATAAATCAACGAAGAAAAGAGATAAACTTGGAAACCCTCGTGAGGGCAGTGCTCAACAAAATTTTATAAGGGAAGGCTCCGCCCCAAGGTCAAACCCCTTATCCTTTTATACACCATTTTTGAGAGAAATTGTGCCCCTTTCGTATACATTTTATTGACAAATGGTACTCCTTTAAAATACAATTTTAGAGCGCCGCATCCCAGCTTAAACTGCTGAAAATGCACCGTTTTTTAATTCTGAAGGAATCACTAAGTCAGAAAGTCTTTTTGTTATCTTTTTCACAGCATTGAAATGCGTCTGTTAGCCCTTTTTAGGTCCGTTTACAGACCGCAAGGACAGATTTCCCTGTGCTTTCATGTACTTCATCTGCAGTGGTGAAATCCTTACCCTTCAATATACCTGAAGCCTGGAAAAAGGTACTCCTTTTGGTCAGAGCTTTTCCGTATGGGCCGTTATAGGGAGTGCCTTTAGGCAAAAATCTGATTGATATAATCACGTAATTGCCGTCATTATGACGTCATATTGTTGAAATTATTGGCAAAATCCACATTTCCCTCAAAGTAGCAATAAACAGAATAAAAGTCAAAAGGTAAGGTGTCTGATAAAATTTAGAAGTTGCCTAACATATAAAATAATCTTCAACAATAACAGTCACGTCATTTATAAAAACATTAAATAAGGAACTGGAACAGTACGCCATCTTGAATCCATCATTTTGAATTATTTTATATATTCAACTTTTTCGTGGGGGACGGGGGGGGGAGCTTGGGTGCTCAAAAGTCCCCTTGTCTGATCTGAAGAGGGTTAAAGTTTAGTTGTACCTGTATATCGTGGTCCGGGCTGCTGGTAAAAGTGTATCTCCATGGCATCTGCCATTTTCGCCTTCCACGATCTTGGCAGTCAAGAAAGCCTTTCAACTGCCACCAAGTCTTTGCAAGTAGCCCCGGAAATTTCTTGTCTCAGGTTCAGAAAACGCATGATTCCCTCTGTAAATGTTACTCTTAGGTTCCTGTGTCTCTGGGTGCGATGAGTTTATATCAGCTGTTAGAAAAGAGCGGATAACTTTGTCACCTTTAGTCGTCTGCTACACAGCCTGAGGAAAACAACTTAGCTTCGATCCCCGTGGTTCGCAAAGGTTCGCACTTTTGTTGACGTTCACGAAATAGCAAGGAATTCTTTCTGTTTTATACCGTCAACTTTATTCTTCTAGCTTGCATTAACAGCAACAAATCATGTACTTACAACCCCAGGCATAGCCAAAGTTTCCGTCGAGATCCACACCTTGTTTAAAGCATCTGCCCCTTATGCATAGTATATTTCTATTTTTTGGCCAGTTGCGTGCACACGCGTTCTATAGAAAAAATAGTGAAGGTTAATTAAAAATCTTGGTGAACCTTTCTTCTCATCTTTATGCGTGACCTGCCCAGTTGTTGGTGCTTGGGTGGGAGTTGGTGGGTATGTACCAACGTCGTTATCCATATTTGGATCGCATCATAGAGGAATTCTCATTCAACAACAGTCTATTGACAAAGACAGGAATCCAGTACCAGGATAGCCTGCGAGCAAGCTCTCCGAGACGCTCTGGCGGCGAGGCGGGAAACGGAAGGAGAGCTTGCAACTACGGTTCTGGAATTTGAATATCGATATGCACCGAAAATGTCGGTACAAAATGCTGATTGGCGGAGATGACATTAGTAATGACGTCATTACCCTTGGTAGTGTTTGCTCAGTCGACGGGGAGCCACAGGAGCATTAGAGGTGAAATTCAAATTCCAGAGACGCATTTGCGAGCCCTCCTTCCTTTTCCCGCCCCGCAGCAAGAGCGCCCCGGAGAGCTTACTCGCAGGGTAGTACTTGGACCCGGAAGCGACGGCGTGGAATCCACAATCCAAGAGACCAAGACTGTCTTGGATTCCCTCACGTTGAGAGATAAAAATCGTGACCTGAACCTCTCTATCTTAAAATAAAATAAAGAACTTTCTTACAGAGCTCTGTTTGCGAGAGTAATAATATCCATCCACATTCATAACGGGTAAAATAACCACATCCATTTTGTCTAACATCTCAGTCACTGTGGACATCAGTCAATATTGCGATGAAATCTAAAACAAAAACGGATAATGAGAAAGGATACAATTAATGTTCAACTTTTCGCAGACAGCACTGTGGTTAGGTTTACTCTGCCCTAAAGGCAGCGGAAGATCGAGTCCAAATATAGCGTTTTCCCTCTTTGGGCAAACAGCTATAATAAATTAATAGAACAAAAGAAAGTGCTTTTATAAGTTTAACTTCCATAGATTGGGCAAGATTGATATTTGGGGCACCAATATGGCCGCCGCTTTGACGTCACGTAAAAACAGTGTATAAATTGTTAAAGGAGGTTCATACGTTTCTTAGCTTCTTCGCACGTGATTTTAGACTCCCCTATTTTCCCGTAATATCGTTCAGATCGATCGCGTTGCATTACGGGCGGCCACTTACTCGAACCCAGTCGTCTTTCACAATCACCCCCTGCTCGGCCCCCTCCCTAAACCGGTACTCCCCATCTGCGATTGTAAGTCGCAAGAGAGATTGAACACAATGCTTATGCTAAATTTTGGCGGGACAACAAAGAGTAATTATGTTATTTTTGAAAAAGGCCTATTGTACTCAAGCTTGTATTAGATAGCTCTGATGCTTGGGTCTGCTGCAAACTAGTTTGCATCTCTAATAAGTATTTTAACCAATGGTCTCGATATTGCGAGAGTATAAATAGCGACCAATGAAAATGATGATGAGCGCTAGCATGTTATTTTAATTCTTAGTTCTTAACAGCACCTTACCTTGTCAGCGAGATACATGCACAGTGAACCAATTATCCATTCAGGACCGTGGATTACACGTTGCATGATAGATAGATTAATTATTAGCTGGAATTCACAAGGAGCCCTTATTTCTATAAATAACTTGCATCATTTTCTACTTGTACTCTGTGGTATCTTATAACAAGAGAGGATGACTTTTTTTCCTTTTTACTGAGGATGTGTAGGTACGGGTAACGATGGTTGAGGATGTGTAAGTACGGGTAAGAATGGTTGAGGATGACTAAGTACGGGTAACGATGGTTGAGGATGTGTAAGTACGGGTAAGAATGTTTGAGGATGTGTAAGTACGGGTAAGAATGATTGAGGATGACTAAGTATGGGTAAGGATGGTTGAGAATGACTAAGTACGGGTAAGGATGGCTAAGGATGTCTTAGTACGGGTAAGGATGGTTGAGGATGTGTAAGTACAGGTAAGGATGGTTGAGGATGACTAAGTACGGGTAAGGATGGTTGAGGATGACTAAGTACAGGTAAGGATGGTTGAGGATGTGTAAGTACGGGTAAGGATGGTTCAGGATGACTAAGTACGGGTAAGGATGGCTAAGGATGTCTAAGTACGGGTAACGATGGTTGAGGATGTGTAAGTACGGGTAAGGATGGTTAAGGATGACTAAGTACGGGTATGGTTAAGGATGACTAAGTACGGGTAAGGATGGTTGAGGATGTGTAAGTACGGATAACGATGGTTGAGGATGTGTAAGTACGGGTAACGATGGTTGAGGATGACTATGTACGGGTATAGTTGAGGATGACTAAAAGCAGGTAAGGATGGTTGAGGATGACTAAGTACGGGTAACGACGGTTGAGGATGTCTAAGTACGGGTAAGGATTTCTAAGGATGTCTAAGTACGCTTAACGATGGTTGAGGATGTGTTAGTACGAGTAAGTATGGTTGAGGATGACTAAGTACGGGTAAGGATGGCTAAGGATGTCTAAGTACGGGTAACGATTGTTGAGGATGTGTAAGTACGGGTAACGATGGTTGAGGATGTGTAAGTACGGGTAACGATGGTTGAGGATGACTAAGTACGGGTAAGGATTTCTAAGGATGTCTAAGTAAGTCGAAAGTAAGGGTAAGGATGGCTAAGGATGTGTGAGTACTGGTAAGGATGGTTGAGGATATCTGGTAAGGATGGCTGAGGATGTCTAAGTAAGGGTAGGGATGACTAAGGATGTCTAAGTACGGGTAAAGATGGGTGATAATATCTAATAAGTACCCGTAAGGATGGCTGAGGATGTCTAAGTACGGGTGAGTATGGCTGAGGATGTGTTACAAGTACGGGTAAGTATGGCTGAGGATACACCTTGGCGGATTGTGCTCCTAAAAGTGGCATATTATGCTACTAGCAGTGCTCGAAATTTTGCCAAATTATGCGAAAGTTATGCCAGAATTCCCAAATTATGATCCTGGTTTCCGAAATTATGCTCACATAATGATGTAGATTCAGTACACATAGGCGCGCAGTAACGACACCAAATTATGATGTTTTTCAAATAAACTGTTGTTGTAAATTTATTTGTGTTTTATGGCAGTTTGTCTCGGCCCTCAGCTGTCCAAATTAGCTGCTCGCATCTCTGACCGTTTGTAAAATGCCTTCAACGACTTAACGATCACACTTGAATATACTGACTGAATCAAAAGAATATAGTACTCTATTGATTAAAACTAACTTAAACTATAGCGAACTATAACGTTGGAAGTATCAAGCCACGAAGTAAATCAACTTGTCTCAAGAGACAGTTCTGAGTTCTTTCAGCACCAATAATTGCTTGAATAAAGATGGATAAGAATAGTATACACAAAGTCAACATCAGCGCTTATTGAACAGCAACATTACGCTGGCCTGTAGATAGTATGCCAGAGCGCTGTCCTGCTGATCGCTAAATGTCGCTGAGAGTAGGGAGAAGGCTCACTCAGCTGCGGCAGAGGAAGGCTGCACCAATAGAACCTTGTACTGTCGCAATTTGTAATAATCATAGCACTTTGTAATACCTGTCGCAATTTGTAGTAAACCGTGTCGCAATTTGTAATAACGGCCCATCGCTCTTTGTAATAAACTAAGCTGTCGCAGTTTGTAGTAATTCCATCGCACTTTGTAATAATTTTTTGAGAGTGATTCAACTTACTTCGTCAATATTAATATAATGCCAAAATATGCATGGTACTTCATAAACAAAGATGGTGACGTCTGCTAGCACGTAACATCTCCGTAACATTTTATTTTGTCAAACATGCATGTCTTCCGCTGTAAATTTTTCTGCCTTGATTAATCACGTTACCAACTAGAAACGCTTTTATGAAAGACGTGAAACTTACTGTGACATATCACCAACAAGATATGAATCATGTTTAAATTCAAAAATATTTAAAGAACAAAAGCAACATTTAACAACAGAACATTTAGGAATAACCTGGCATTCGTCGTCCAAATCCATGTTTGCTTGCCACGTGACACATGAAGTCTTAAGGGGGATGGGGGATAATCCCATATCCCATATATGGATGGGCTAGATAGGTAAGTACCGCCTGATAGGGTATGGTTTTTGAGGATCTCGAGCCTTTAATAGGGTATCATTTTTTACGTTGTTGGTCTTGTGTCTTTGGTTTGATCCTTAGATAGGGTAACTCAAGTAGTACACCGTAATTTTTTAGGGAGTTATTATAACTCCAAAAATGGAGTAAAAATTTTAGGTACAGGATAATCCCTTTTTTGAGGTTATTTTAACTCCTAATTTAACTCCGAATTTGGGGTCATTTTTACTCCTGAAAAAGAGTTCTTTTTACTCCCAGTCTGGAGTTTAAATTACTCCGAAATGGGGTTATTTGTACTCCTTACATGGGCTGTTTTTACTCTTTTTGGAGTTAATTTAACTCTGAAAGTGGAGTAAAAATTTTAGGTACAGGATAACTCCTTTTTTGGGGTTATTTTAACTCNTTGTACTCCTTACATGGGTTGTTTTTACTCTTTTTGGAGTTAATTTAACTCTGAAAGTGGAGTAAAAATTTTAGGTACAGGATAACTCCTTTTTTGGGGTTATTTTAACTCCTCAATATCTGGGGTCACTTTTACTCCTGAAAAAGAGTTCTTTAAACTCCTTTTTGGAGTTAAAGTAACTCCACGAAAAATAACTCCACTGTAAGGAGTTAAATTAGCCCCACTAGAGGAGTTATTATAACTCCCTGAAAATTACAGTGTTGATTTTACCTGAAACTCAAGCTATAAGTTATTTAAACATTGTACTAAAACATATGTAAGAACTGGCTTGGATTATTTAATTTGAACTTTACTTGAACTTTTTGAAGTTGAATATATGAGACTTTGCAGAGATCGTCGGTTTGTTATTCCTCGACAAGTCACGAAAGCGTTACGCCTCCACTAGAAACTTAACCCACAAATGCACTTGTATTTAAGAGATCTGTTCTGGAACATTTTGCTACCTCAATGCTTTCCCCGTTATGGTTAACTTGCATCTTGTTTTCGATCTGCTGATTTGTTAGTCCTCAGACAACACGCGCAAACTCGTTGTTGCCTGAAAGTAACCCCAGGCAGAATTATTCATAGTATTGAAGTCCTTTCTTTTTGATCGAACTTTTAGATCCATTGCAATTGAAATATCTAGGTCTTACAAAATTGCATTACATCAAAACTAATTTTGTTGGCGAACTTTCGGGCTGGCGATATACCTCTGGTCGTAAAGTGTTGTGTGACAGTGGCACTGGAGGGATCGACAGGTTTAACGTTGCGTCGCATTATGGGAAAAATCATATCATCCAAAGGACTGTTATTAAGGCTGGTTTTCACTAGCGACGGAGTCGGAGTCGGAGTCGTAAGAGCGCTTATGACCGAGTGAAAATCAAAAATCGGAGTCGTAAGCGGAGTCGTAAGCGCGACGGAATTGGAGTCAGAAAAATCACAACGTTTCCACTTCTTCCGACTCAGCTTACGACTCCGTCGCTTACGTTCCGCTTATGATCTAGTGAAAACCAGATTGTCGGGGTCGGAAGCAGAAGCGGATGGATAAACCAATCAAAATGTACGTTCCCACGCTTTGTGATTGGTTTTCCGACTCCGACAATCTGGTTTTCACTA